GCTCTGTATGACGGAGGAGATCAGCTGGGAGGCCGTGTCCACGGCAAACTTCGACCCGCTCAGCCGCAGGCAGAACACGCCCGGCGCGACCGCCTGGCTCGTCACCTCGGCGCCGCTCGCGGACTGGATGCCGAAGACGTGCGGCGTGACAGCCTGCAGCTGGCTCGCGAGCACGGGGACCTGCACAGTCAGCAGGTCCCCGGCGCCCCCGACGCCGACCCCGACGCCGTCGCCCGGGGCGCGGCCGAGGGGCGGCAGGCCGTCTTGAGATCCCATTGGGACGTACTGGAGTTGCCCCAGCGCCCCGACGCCGCCCGCGTCCCACGCGCCGGCGCCCGCCGCGCCAGTGCTGTTGCCGGCCGACCCCGGGCCCGCCGCGCCGGCGCCGCCGCCGCCGCCGGGCGCGGCGCCGCTGCTCAGCGGCGCGTAGCCGCCGCTGTCGGCACCGCTGCCGGGGCCGAGCGCATAGCCGCCAGAGGCCAGGGCTGACAGATCACCATCGTGGCCAGCGGAGGCAAACGCCGCGGAGCTGTCCACCAGGAACGACCCGCTGTTGAAGACACCACTGTCCGCGCTGCCGCCGGGCCCGAGCATGATCGGGTGCATCAGCCGCCCAATCCCGCCGGGCGGCGCGGCGGCCGCCGCGGCGCCGCGCTGCTGCTGCTGCTGCGGCTGCTGCAGCCCGTACTGCGGGTGCAGCCCCGCGCCGCCGAGCGCGCCGCCGCCGCCCGCGGCGACGGCGCCGGCCATCCCCGCGCCGAGCAGCGCGCGCGGCACCGAGCGCCGGACCGTCGCCGGGCGCACGACCAGCGGGCGCTGCTGGTGGCCCGTCGGGTCTGGCAGCAGGTGGCGCTCGTTGAAGTGTTGGGCCGCGCGGTCGGCGTCGGCGCGGGTGGTGTACCAGCAGAAGGCGCTGCCCTTTGAGCTTCCGGTCTGCTTGTCGTAGAGCACCACGAGCTCGACCACGGGGCCGATGGACTCGAACAGCGGGCGGAGGTCCTGTGTGTGTGTAAGCATGTGTAAGTGTGTGTGTGATAAGGGGGGTTGAGCGCGTGGATTCGCAATCATGAGGGCTTGTCAACAAACACATCGCGGGGAAGTGACGCCCCACCGGCACAGACAGGCGCGGCCCCCGCGGGCGCGCCGCGTCCCGCAGCAGCAAGGCGTGCCCGCTGGCGGGTGGGGGCGCGTGTGCGTGTGTGTGCAGGAGCGTGAGCGTGCACAGGTGTGTGTGTGTGTGAATGTGTGTGTGTGCGTGTTGGGGAGGAGTGCATGGTGGATGGGGTTGGGGGCCGCGGGGGACGCACCCTTTCGGTGTAGCAGCTGGGCACATTGCCGATGAAGAGCTTATAAGCGTCCGGCGCGCAGCCCGGCGGCGGCACCTCGGTCGGCATTGGCGCGTAGAGCGACGCGTCCGACAAGTGCGGCAGCGGCAGCGCGTGCGGATGCGGGTGTGGGGCCGCTGCATGCGCGTGCGCGTGTGCGTGCGCGTGGGGGGCGAGCAGGCCGACAGGCGCGCCGGCGGCGGGGCCGCGCGCGTCGGGCAGGGCGCCACGGGCGCCGACGAGGTTGGAGGGGGCCGAGAAGGAGGTCAGGAACGCCCCGGAGATGGGCACTGCGCGGGAGGGGGGGCGCAGGCGGCAGCGCGGGGCGGGGCGTCGGCGTCAGTCTTCGGGCGTTAGCAGAGTGGCCCAGGCAGGGGCGGGGCGGGGCCGGGCGGCCCACGTCCGGCTGCGTGTTTGGCGGAGGCAGCGGCTGCATCGATAGCCTGCACGACCTCAGCGCGGCCGGCGCGCCGCGCCCTCCTCCGCCCGCTCCTCCCTGCCGTTCCCGCGCCCGCCCCGCACAGCAAAAAAGGTCACCTGTCACAGCAGGCGCCTGCCGCCCGCTGAGGTGGTCTTCGCGCCGCCGCCGCTGCAGGGCAGAGTCCATCCAGCGCACGACCATCGGCTGCGCCATGCCCTGCCACGTGTGCTGCTCGTGCAGCGCCGCGATCGCCGCGGTGGCCTCCTCGACAGACCCCATCGTGGCGAGGCCGCAACCCTTGGTGGTGGGGGCGCCCTGGGAGGAGGGGGAGGGGAGGGG